AGAATTAGGAGTCAGATTCTAAAAGGAACAAATATTATTCCACAACAGTTGCCATATCAAAATCCAAGACGAATGCCACTATACTAAATATATGTAAACTGTCCATCCATATCATTTGAGGAAACAATGCTTTATAAGTTTTATATTGCTTCAAAGTAAAGTAAGTTTCGTTCGGCTGCTTCCTTCTTAAGGGTCCATTAAAGGCTTCTTTTTGGTTTCCTCAGGTTTACTTTGATGATGGGAACTCAATCAATGGGAACTGGGGTCGGCACAGCCAGCAAACTTGCATGAAAGATTTGGCAAATATTTCACCGGAAGCCGTTCCTGATGCAACCTGGGCTCAAACCCACAACCTCAGGATTACAAACTGTGACACTGACCACCGAGCTACTGCAGCCCTCTGTGTTGCTTTAAAGTATAGTTTCCTCAAATCACTGGGGTGTCCCACCATTGGCCACCCCCTGCACCTGGTGGAAAATAAAATGGCTTCCTCCACTTGCCAGGATCCATCACTCTACGCTGCTTCAAACAAGCAAAAAATAAAAATAAAACTAACTCTGCTCTACTACCTCTGACCTGCAGGCCCCGAAAAAGAACCAGCAGAAACAGTGGGGGGCACAGTTCCACTAATCAGCTAACAGCTAATAGCTAAACACAAAAAATTTGTTTAGAGAATTAACATTTTTGATCATTTTGAACATTGTTAGCGGAATTAGCTTACACTAAATTAGGTTTCACCAACTTTTAAGGCAGCTAACAAAATTCACAAGCTTGTTCCTGTTGTGGGCATGTCTCCAAGAGTCCGTTAGGCGTGCCATTGACTTATTACATGTACACATGACAAGACTGGGTGATGTAGCTTCAACTGGAAATAGACGAAGATGTGTGACACAGACTGAAGGTAGTAGTAGTTGTAGCAGTAGTCTTAACGGTTTAGCGTTAGCTTCCACTATTTATTCAACCTATTTAGCTGCTTAAAGGTAGCAAGCTAGTGAGTGAAATATGGGTTAGCAAAGCTCACATTTTGGTTAGCTGGGTCCAGCACTGAGCCAGAAGTTTAAACCCTGGTCCAGACTTTACTGAAAACTCATTGGAGCTAAATGTTTCAAAGACCAAAGGGTTGTGCTGTGGATCTAAAAAGAAGAAACCCGGAATGTTTGTTCCAACCACGCAGCATTCATGTCCGCAGGTGGAGCAGGTCCAGAGTTTTCAATGTCTTGGGACAAATACTGACTTCTGTTTGTCCTTGTCCCACCAAACAGACTCTGTCTATAAAAATAATTATGCATGAGAATAACAAGATAACCAGAACAGCTCAGCTCCCTCTGACTGAACTGTACAGGTGCTTAGTGATGAGGAAAGACACCCTCATAACTCGGGACCTGTCTCACCCCGCTCCACCATTCCTTTGTGTTATTACCATCAGGCAGAAGATAAATAGATGATAGAATCCCACTGGCATGGAAAACATTTACAAGAAATAATTTATCCCCTCTGTAATAACTGTCTTAAATAACAGAAAATAGACTGTACCACTTTAACTTGTGTGGAAATGGACGTTTTTGAATTACAGTAGTCCCTCGCTACTTTGCGATTCGTTTTTTTGCAGACTCGCTCTGCAGAGGTTTTTTAAAGTAAGACTGGACATGACACACAATTTGCTGATTGATGGATGAGCCTCACAATCAGCATGGAATTTTTATTTAAATTATTTAAAATTATTTAGCACCTACTGCATATGTGCATCCTGAGCAGCCCACAGCTGCAGGAGACACTTCCTCCTGCAGCTGATCAACTAATCTCAGTTCTGCAGCAGAAAAGTGGGTGTGGCCGAGAACGCTGGCAGATGGCAGAGAGCTGAAATCATAACATTCTGTGCTCTTTTAGAGCGTTTAGCATTTAGAAACATTGTTTAGAATATCCTGATGCATGCTCAATAATCCAGGTAGAAAAATCCAAAAAAGTTCAATCTGGTCCTCTGGACATTCAAAAAAAACAAAAAAACAAAACAAAGCAAAAAAATGTAGAAACGTTTCATCTCTCATCCGAAAGACTTCCTCATTCTGACTGATGAGAAATGAAAAGTTTCTACATTTTTTTGCTTTGTTTTTTTTTTTTTTGTTTTGCTTTTTTTGAATGTCCAGACGACCAGACTGAACTTTTTTGGATTGTTTAGAATATTGCAAGAGTGTGGGAAGGGTTAAAATGCCTATATATGTGTGTATGTATATATGTATGTATATATGTATGTATATATGTATGTATATATGTATATGTATATATGTATGTATATATGTATATGTATATATGTATATGTATATATGTATATGTATATGTATATATATATA